ATGTATATATATATATATATATTATATAATATATATATATATATATATTATATATATATAAATATATATATATATAAATATAAATATAAATATATATATTATATATATATATATATATTATATATTATATATATATATGAATATTAAATAAATAAATAGATAAATATATATATATATAATATATATATATATATATATATATATATATATATATATAACGTTATATGTATATATATATATATATATATATTATATATATAATATATATATTATATATATATATATATATATATATTTATATATATATGCATATTATACTACACATATATACATAGTTATATATATATATATACTTATATATTATATATTTTCTTTTAATGTTACACTGAGGCCAAATAAGATTAACTTTTTATAGGCAATACCAATAAAATGGACAATGCATGTACAAAAATGTAGATTTTAATGAAAATAAGGATAATAACAAGTGTATACTCAGTATATTTGAGTTTTTGCTAGATTTACACCTCGAGGACAAATTCCGGCATTAGTGTATCCTCAGTGCCAGACCCACTGGTGCCACAGGTATATATCTTCCATTTTAGTGACTCACAAAGAGAGAAAGGTAATTTGAAGCAAGTGTCGTAAGTTCGGACAGATATACTTTTGGGGCTCCAAGTGGCGGCCATTGACGAGGCGAAGCGAACCACTTCCAACTCTCGCCCCGTTCGTCAGGTCGACCTTTCACTTCCTGTTGGCGAAGACTTTTTGCGAACGGCTTGCTCTTGTGGCGCTTTCTCGTCGGAAATTTTGGAGAAATAAAAATAAATGGATGAGGAGGCGGTTTTCAGATGCTGGCGCTGATGAAAAAACGGATTTTTTCTCGTTAATAGGCCTTAGAAATGATAACTTGACAAATCGAAGAGATGGAACTAAGAAGATTATCTTCAGAAATATACGCTATGTGTTGTATGTATTTCTCATGAATTGCACTTCATCTTTATGAAGATATAACATGAACAGTCACATCAAATATATCTTTTGATTTGGAAGAATGTTGTTTCCGTCAAAACATCCACAAAAAGACTGTGGTATTGATATTATTTCTATTACTATTACTATCGATTTTTTAAAAGAAAGAATATGTACAACGTCTGTCTCGGTAATCTCTCCTTTTCCTTCCCTCTCTCTCTCCCTCTCTCTCGCTTTCTCCTCCCTCTCTCTCTCTCTCTCTCTCTCTCTCTCTCTCTCCCCTGAACATGATTTGTGTGTGTGTGTAAATATACGTGTATGCATAATATATACTACATGAATATGCATACATGTATGTATATCTTTTCTGTCGTATCTTTTTGCTTATTACTCCATTTCAGCTTTTGGGTTTTATCCCTGCTCGTTTAGATTCCTTTCTGTATATCATTTTGGTGAGTTTGTTCTCCATATCGTATTTGATGTCGCCTTATTCCTTATGAAAATAATGTCTGATGTATATCATAAACATATCATCAAATAATTTAACATATTTCTCTAATAGACTGTTCTTAACGATATGTTTCCATCAAAGTTGATATATGCTACATCATTTATAACCTTTGTCTATAAAATTTTAGTTCTGGATATTCTTGTCTATTCACAAGGTAGTTGTGGGGTACAAATCATAGAAATATGTTTAAAAACTCTTTTTTATTCAAATAACGAAGATCTTTTCATATAAACGTACAAGAAACATCATATATGTAAAGCAACAGTCAGACGAAGACGACGAGAAGGAGGAACGTCTTGTAAAACGACCCAAGACGTCGGGGCATCTTCGAGGAGTCCGACGAGGAAGCGAAGGCCGTCTTAGCGCACTGGGCATCACGGGGACCCGACTCTGGGGCATCTGAGGAGTCCGTGGGGAGAGATCTCGACAGGAAGTCTGCAGAAGAGGAGAAAATGTCATAAGTCGGCTGTTCAGGAGGAATCGAGGGGATGTATTTGAAAGTAAGATTATGGATGAAGTTATTTCGGAATCGGGTGGAAGGTCAACTTACCGTGTGCGGAGGGATGCTTTCACTGGGCGAGGCGACTAAGGGCGCCGACTAGGAGGCTGAGGCTCAGGAGACGGGGTCGAGACTCAGGCGATCACCTGAAGAAGGGAGTCATGGGCTGCTGGAGGTGCAGCGAGGGCAGCGGGCCGCCCATGGGGAGCAGGCCGCCGTAGGCAGGGTACACAGGGCGGGTGAGGCGCTCGATCTCGGCCTCCTTGAGGCGCTTGTCCTTGGCGCGGCGGTTCTGGAACCAGATCTTGACCTGCGTCTCCGTCAGGCTGAGCGAGGCGGAGAACTCGGCGCGCTCGGCGATGCTCAGGTACTGCTTCTCGCGGAACTTCTTCTCGAGGCTCATCAGCTGCTCCGAGGAGAAGGGCGTGCGCGGCTTGCGGTTGGCCTTGTGGCGCCGCAGGACGGGTCCGGGCAGCTTGGGCAGGTCGCGGTGGCCCTCCGTCGGCGACACGCTGCCGAAGGACAGGTAGGGGTGGGCGTGGTGGTGCGAGACGACGGCGTGGGCGGGGGCAGGGGGCGCCCAGTGGTGCTGCAGGCGGGGGTAGAAGGGCACGTCGGGGCTGAGGGAGCGCTCGGAGTCGTGGCTGACGCCCGAGCTGTCGCTGGAGACGCTGCAGGAGGAGTTGGGGCGCGGGGGCGTGGCGGGCTCGCTCAGGCCCAGGATGGCGTCGATCCCGAAGGACAACTTTGGCTTATTGACGGACGTGTTTTCCATTTTTGTTTTTGTTCAAAGCACAAGCACTGGTGGAGGAGGACTCACAGTCGAAAATGTTCTGCCTTTCGAGTCGTCTTCTGGGGCTTATATACGCCGCGACCTCAGGTCAGGGGGCGGGGCGAAGCGAGCGTCGGCCAATCACGGCCCGACTTTGGACCAATTAGAAGAGGAGAAGCTGCTCCCATACGTGCGGTTGCCAACGACCCCATTTCTAAACCCGGTAAATGATCCAGATATCTTTCTTTCAAACCCAAACGAAAAACGAAAAATAACTTACATAATCTAAAAGGAGAATAAATCACAATACATAAAAAGAATAAATAAGAACAGACACTTGATTTAGAACAATACAATTCATCAAAACCCAATCAAAGGAAGGTCATCAGGCAACACCCGTAGTTCATATCTGTCCTTAATTTACTTACTGTCTGAGCGCAGGAATGTACAACTCAAATTACTGTACAACGACAAAGGATGTACTTAATTCATTTACACCATATATTCAAAATAAATAATATTCTAAGACAAAAACTTGAATTTGATCATAACATTCTTCCAAAATCGATCTTTTTCATATGAAAATTTAAGAAGACAAAACCAAAATGAAGAAATGTATGAAAAATAAAATATAAAAACCCGAGACACAAACAACTGGGTAATTACAATACGTCTGTCACCTAATGAGCCTTGGTTGACCTGATGTGACCTTGTCTCAGAAAAGGTCAATACACACAATTCGGTTCGCTTTGGGTTTTATGACCTCTGACCTTTTTTCGTTTTGTTATAGTTCCTTTCAATTCTTTTTTTGAGGGGAATATCGAAGACTTTATTAATGAAGGCGTTTCTATGGAGGAAAAAGCTTAATTAGAATAAGAAGTTAAAGGTAGTTTAATATTGAGATGAAATAGATAGGTCATTATCATTATGCTTTTGAATGTATTTTCATTGTAACATCTTTAATAAAAATGCAGTTTATTAGATTTAGATTGTTTTAAAAAGTTATTTATCGCCGAGTGTGGATTTTTAACTTACTGTTTTTTTTTTTCTATGGAGAAAAAAGATTATTAGTAAAAGAAGTTGAAGGTAGTTTAATATTGAGATGAAATAGATAGGTCATTATCATTATGCGTCTGAATGTATTTTTCATTATAATATCTTTAAAAAGAAATGCAGTTTATTAAATTTAGATTTTAAAAAAACTTATGTATCTGCTGAGCGTGGATTTTTAATTCACTGTTGTTTCTATGGAGGAAAAAATGATTAGTATAAGTTGTAGTTTAATATTGGGTTGAAATCGATAGGTCATTATCATTGTTATACTTCTGAATATATTTTGATTCTTAAAATTTTGTAGTTTATTAGATTTAAACTTTTAGATTTTTAAAAATTATTTATAGCTGGGCGTGGGTTTTTAACTTACTGGTGTTTCTTTGGGAGGAAAAGTTTAATTAGTAAAAGAGGTTGAAGGTAGTTTAGTATTGGGATGAAATCGATGTTATTATCTTTGTTATACTTCTGCATGTATTTTCATTGTAACATCTTAGAATTTTGTAATGTATTAGATTTAGACTTTTAGAATTTTTAAAATTATTTATGGCTGAGCGTGGATTTTGACATTGGCGTTTCTATGGAGGAAAAGTTTAATTAGTAAAAGAAGTTGAAGGTAGTTTAATATTGTGATGAAATCGATAGGTTATTATGATTATTATACTTCTGACTGTATTTTCACTGTAACATATTAAACTTTTGTAGTTTATTAGATTTAGACATTTAGATATTATTAAAGTTGTGTATGGCTGAGCGTGGATATTTAATTTACTTTATCTGAATATTGTCACGTTTAGCTTCAATTAACTGAATCTGTCTCATTAAGGAGTAATGAATATCACATTTTTTTATATTATAATATTCTTTAACAGAAATACATAGATGCATTAATTTCGGTAACCATACAGAACATCGAAATAAAACAAACAATTCAAACAAAACATTAATTTAGAAAATATATATATATTGTTACAAATACCTTCAAAGTTGTTAGTATTTTATATACTTTCTTGTGCGTATAGATATAAACATATTAATATTTCATCATTAACATTATCTTTTTTATCGTCATTTACATATCGTTCGTGGCAGCACCTTATTATTAGTATCATTGGTATGATAATGTTATTCCTATTGTTTTTAGATAATGATAATGATGAAAATCATAATAGTAACAATGGTAGTGATAATAGTAATACTGATAATAATTTTAGTAATAACGATGAAAATAGTTATAATGATAATGATAATGGTAATAGTAATAATAATGAATGTTATTATTACCATTATTATTGGTATTGTTATCATCATTATTATCATTATCATTATTTTTAATGTCATTATTATCATTATTTCCATTATCATCATCATTATTGTTATTACTGTTTCCACTATTATTACTATTATTTTTTGTCATTATTGTTATTGTTATTATTATTATTGTTATAATAAATCATTTATTGTTATGATTTTCTATTATCATTATCATTATTATTAACAGTACTATCATCATGATTATCATCATCGCCATCATCATCTATATCAATCATTACCATTTATCATCACCATCATTAACAACCACTACTCTCATTATCACTTCACTTCAACAGCCACAGAACGACGAGAGAAAATATGCGATATATTTTAGTATATGACATGACCTCCTCCCTGGATGCTGTGTCATCTCCGATATCTGACCTCCATTGGTTTTCATTATGGATGTGGAATGTGTGTGGATGTGGATGTGTGTGGATGTGGATGTTTGTGGGTGATTTAGGGATTTTGTGGGTGTATGTTTGGTATTTTTTGTTATGTAGTGTGTTATTTTGGTGTTATGTATTTTGTTACATATTTTGTGTTATATTGTTGTTCTCGTCTTCTCTCTCTTTCTCTTTCTCTTTCTCTTTCTCTTTCTCTTTCAATTTCTCCTTCTTTTTCTCTTTCTCCTTCTCGTTCTTATTCCCCTTCACCTTCTCCTTCCCCTTCCCCATTCTCTTTCTCTTTCTGCTTCTCCTTCTTTTCCTTCTCCTTCTCCTCCTTTTCCTTCCCCTTCTCCTCCTTTATTTTCCTTCTCCTAGATTCCAACGGATCCTTTTCCTCAACCATTTCCCTCCCCGAAGATTCCCGAGAATGGGAATTTCAGAATTTTGGAATTTCAGAATTTCGGAATTTCAGAATCTCGGAATTTCAGAATTTCGGAATTTCGGAATTTCAGAATTTCAGAATTTCGAGAAGAATGCACAAAGACCCGTTTAATCGGAGACGCCTCTACAGACAGACAGGCAGACAGATGGCTTCCTTGTCACTCAAAATTCCTCTTTGGTCATATGACGTCACGATTCGTTGGCACTTCCGGTTCTGGCAGACTTCCGGTGCTAATGAAGGGCCGGGGGGGGGGGGGAGTCGAGGCGAGAATCTGTGCGTTTTTTTTTTTTTTTTTTGGAAAGGGTGGAGGGGACGGAGGGAGGGGGAAGGGAGGTGTATCGTTGACCTACTTTCAGTTCGAGAGCAAGAAGGGGGGGGGGGTTAAGAGGAGGGGGCTGGGTCAAATTGTTAAGGGTCGGATTTGATTTTTCGGGACAGGGGGGGGGCGGGTGGGGAGGGGTGGATTGGATAGTGGTATGGTATGGGGGCATTTGGGGTTGGGTCTCTCTCTCTGTTTCTGTCTGTGTCTGTCTCTCTCTCTCTGTTTCTGTCTCTGTCTTTCCCTCTCTCTTCTGTTTCTGTCTCTCTCTTCTCTCTCTCTCTCTCTCTTTCTCTCTCTCTCTCTCTCTCTCTCTCTCTCTCTCTCTCTCTCTCTCTCTCCTCTCTCTCTCTCTCTCTCTCCCTCTCTCTATCCATCTATATCTATCTATCTGCGTGTGTATGTGTGTGAGTTTTCTGTCTCTCTATTAAATTCCAAATTACTCTATCTCGTATACCACACACTCCACCACATTCACTGACCCAACCAAAAGCTATTTCCACATCACCCCCTCCCCCTCTTCCACGCCCTCTGCCTCCCCCTCCTCTCTGACCGCCCCTTCTGTCTTTTGCACCCCCCCCTTCGTCATTTTCTTCCCCTCCCCCTCACCCCTTCCTTACCCCCTCCCCACTCCCCTCCATGCTCCTGGGAGGTCGTTGAAGGTGTCATGTCAGGAGTATAAGAATATCTGTCTATTTTCATCTATTTATAAAAGTCACGTGTTAGTTTTGCGAATTTGTGATACATATATATATTTTTTTCATTTCCCATATAAATGCTGATTACTTTCTGATTTGTCAGGTGTAGGCCTATTTAGATAATCCAAAAATCATAATTGTAATGAATTTCTAAAATCATCTTTTCTGTTATTGCAATTAGCAAGATTCTATATTTAGATCTATAACACTGTTTTTTTATTAGATATCGTTGTATTTTCAACATCTATCCACAAGATAAATTAGATATATGACACTGATTTTGTTTCCATTAGTTATCATTGTATTTTCTACATCAATCCACGAGAAAAAAGAATTTTGATTCTGCCTATGAATAAATTACTTTTATATCATAAGTTCCCAAGAAAATAATTTTGGGAAGGATATATATTCATGTCAAAAATACGACCAAAATAAAGATTTAAAATGTCAAATCAAACATATGCGCATGATAAGGATGATGAGCATGATGAGGATAATTGATAACGATATGATTGACAGATAATGATAATGATAACATAAGCGCCAATCAACACCAGTAATTCTATTCATGATAATTTCCCTTTAATTTCCGTTATTTTCGTCATATTGAAATTCCCTTTAAATAATTTTACTTCCGGTTCTATAAAGTAATATGTTTCATCATATTAGAATTTCCCATTAGATAATTTTACTTCCGGTTTTGTAAAATTCCCTATTAAATAATTTTACTTCAGATCTAAAAAAACATATTTAGGCTCCGATTTCCGACATTTTCGACATTCTTATCCTTATTTCATATTTTCTTTCCTTCATTCCTCTAGTTCTCTTTTT